CTCTTGAGCCCAGGGGTTTGAGGTTGCCGTGAGCTATGTATGATGCCACTACACTCTAGCCCAGGCAACAGAAAGAGACCCTGTCTCAAGAAAAAAAGGAAAAGAAAGAAAGAAAAAGTGTACAATTCAGGGGCACTTAGTACATTCACAATGTTATGCAACTATCTTCTCTAGTTGCAAACATTTTCATTACCCCAAATGTGCAATCACTCCCCAGTGTCCCCTCTCCTAGGCCCTGGCAACCACTAATCTGCTTTCTGTGTCTATGGATTTGCCTACTCTAGAGATTTCATATAAATGGAATAATGGAATATTTGGCCTTTTGTATCTGGCTGCTTTTAAGATAGGGTCTCACTATGTTGCTTAGGTTGTTCTTGAATTCCTGACCCCAAGTGATTCTCCCACCTCGGCCTCCCAAAGTGCTAGGATTACAGGTGTGAGCCATCACATCCGGCCAAAAAAATAAAGATTTAGTAGACACACTTAGAAACATACATATCTGTATTAAAACATGTATCAATTTAAAAACATAGATGTGCATTTTGTTGTGCAGCTTTCTTTTCACTCAACAATCTTAGAGACCCCTCAATGTTAGTACTTGCAGATCCACTTTCCTTCTTTTTTAAGTCCACACGGAATTCCATAGTGAGACCACGGGGCAGCGATGCAGCCGCAACTCTGTGGGCGGACATTTAGGTAGTCTGCGATCTTTTCCCACCATTTCCAATCGTTTACTATTATAAACGCTACCGTGAGGAAAATCCTTACATAATAGAAGCCCATGCTATTCTACTTATTAAAAAAAGGTCTTTTAAAGAAATTCCTTAATTTCGTATCCTCCTTATTCCTCCCTTCCTCTACTCTTCCCAGCATCTAGTGTCCTTTGTTCTACTTTTTACCTCTATTCGATTTTTAACTTTTTTTTTTTTTAGTGTTCACACATGAGTGGGAACATGTGATGTTTGGCTTCCTGTTTCTGGCTTATTTCGCTTAACGTGATGTCTTCCCATTCTCTCAGTGTCGCTGAGAATGACAGGATTTCACTCTTTTTATGGCTGAATAGTATTCCATTGTATACATACATCACATTTTTAATCCATTCATCTGTTGTTGAACACCTATGCTGATTCCATATCTTGGCTACTCTGAATAGTGCTGCAATAAACATGGGCGTGCAGATGCCTCTTTCATATACTGATTTCCTTTCATCTGGGTAAATGCCCAGTCGTGGGATTACTGGTTCTTATGGTAGTTCTAGTTTTCTGAGGAACCTCTATATTGTTCTCTGGAGTGGCTGCACCAGTTTACATTCCCACCACAGTGTGTAAGTGGTCCCTTTCTCCACATCCTCACCATCACTTTTTAGTTTTAGTCTTTTTGATAATAGCCCTCCTAATTGGGGTGAGATGATATCTCATTGTGGTTTTGATTTGCATTTCCCTGATGATTAATGATGTTGAGCATTTTTTCATATATTTGCTGGCTATTTGTATGTTTTCTTTTGAAAAAATCGTCTGTGCAAGGGCGGGCGCAGTGCTTCACGCCTGTAATCCTAGCTCTCTGGAGGCCGAGGTGGGGTGATTGCTCAAGGTCAGGAGTTCAAAACCAGCCTGAGCAAGAGCGAGACCCGTCTCTACTATAAATAGAAAGAAATTAATTGGCCAACTAATTATATATATATAAAAATTAGCGGCATGGTGGCGCATGCTGTAGTTCCAGCTACCCGGGAGGCTGAGGCAGAAGGATCGCTCGAGCCAGGAGTTTGAGTTGCTGTGAGCTAGGCTGACGCCATGGCACTCACTCTAGCCTGGACAACAAAGGAGACTCTGTCTCAAAAAAAAAAAAAAATGTCTGGTCAGATCATTTGCTCATGTTTTTTTTTTTTTTTTTTTTTTTTTTGAGACAGAGTCTCACTTTGTTGCCCAGGCTAGAGTGATGCCGTGGCATCAGCCTGGCTCACAGCAACCTCAATCTCTGGGGCTCAGCGATCCTACTGCCTCAGCTCCCGAGTAGCTGGGACTACAGGCATGTGCCACCATGCCCGGCAATTGTTTCTATATTATATTTTTAGTTGGTCAATTAATTTATTTCTATTTTTGGTAGAGACGGGGTCTCGCTCAGGCTGGTTTCGAACTCCTGACCTTGAGCAATCCGCCCACCTCAGCCTCCCAAAGTGCTAGGATTACAGGCGTGAGCCACCACGCCCGGCCCATTTGCTCATTTTTTAATTGGACTGTTTATCCTTTTTGCTGTTGAGATGTTTAGGTTTCTTTAATATTCTAGAGATTAATCCCATCAGATGTGTGGTTTGTAAATATTTTCTCCCATTTTATAGCTTATCTTTTCATTCTGTTGATTGTGTCCTTTGCTGTGAGGAAGCTTTGTAGTTTGATATAATCTCATTTGTTTATTTTTGCTTTTGTTGCCTGTGCTTTTGAGATCTCACTCATAAAATCTTTTCCCAGACCAATGTCCTGAAGCATTTTCCCCTCTGTTATCTTTTAGTAGTTTTATAATTTTGGGTCTTATATTTAGGTCTTTTATCCATTTTGAGTTGATTTTTTTTAACTTAAAACAAAAGAAATTTATTGTCTCACAGTTCAGGAAGCCAGAAGTCTGAAGTCAAGGTGTTGATAGGGTTGATTCCTTCTGAGGGCTGTGAGAGAGAGTCTGTTCCAAGCCTCTCTTCTAGTTATGGTGGTTGCCGGCAATCCTTGGCATGTCTTGGCTTGTAGCTGCATCACTCTAATCTCTGCCCCTATTGTCATATGGCATTCTCCCCTGCGTATTGAGTTGATTTTTGTATAATGGGAGAGTTGGAGTCTAGTTTTATTCTTCTGCATATGGATATCTAGTTTGCCCAGCACCATTTATTGAAGAGACTGTCCTTTCCCCAGTGAGTGTTCTTGGCACCTTTGTGAAAAAATCAGTTGGTTGTAGATACATGGACTTATTTTTGAGTTCTCAATTCTGCCCCATCAGTCTATGTGTCTGTTTTTATGCCATTACAGTGCTGTTTTGGTTACTATAGCTTTGTAGTATATATTGAAGTCTGGTAGTGTGATGTCTCCAGTTTTGTTGTACCAAAAAACTCTTAAAACAGATAACCATATTCAGAAAAGTTGCAGGATACAAAATCAATATACAAAAATAGTAGTGTTTCTACATATAAACAATAAACTGGCCGGGCATGGTGGCTCTCGCCTGTAATCCCAGCACTCTGGGAGGCCGAGGCGGGTGGATTGGCTCCGTAAGTCCTCAACCGCTCCCGCCTTAGCCCATCTCCTCTTTACGCTTTTTCGGCCAATCATCTATCATCAGGCCCATAGCTGTGCTCTTGAGGCTCGGCGCGCCGGCGCGCTTCCGCCCGCGACTTTCCTGCTCGTCTAGCCTGCGCATCATTTCTCCCGGGCACACGCAGTCTCTCAAAACACAGGCTGCGTGCAGTGGCTCCTGTCAAACACACACACTCTGGAGGCCCAGCGCGCGGAGATCACATTCGCTCGACGGTCAGTTCGACACCACCTGAGCAACACTCGCACGCTTCCTTCACTATTAGGCACTAATGCTCTCTGACATCAGCCCGGTCATCTTAGTCGCTACCCGGGCGTCGCGCGGTCGTGCTACGGTTTGCGCGTTCTGTCGACTAGCCCGGACGCCACGGACTCACTTACGCCTGCACCAAGCGCCCTGTCCAAAAAACAAACAAACAAACAAACAAACAAACAATAAACTAGCTGAAAAAGAAATCAAGAAGGCAATCCCATATACAATAACTATCAAAAAAAAACCAAAACAAAACCCTAGGAATAAATTTAACCAAGAATGTAAAAGACTTCTACAAGGAAAACTATATAACAGTGATGAATGATATTAAAGAGGATATAAATGGAAGATATCCCATGCTCATAGATCGAAAGAATTAATATTATTAAAATGACAATACTACCCAAAGCAATATACAGATTCAATGTAACCCCTTTCACTATACCTATGATATTCTTCATAGAAATAGAAAAAAAAATTTAAAATTTGCATGGGATCACAAAAACAGTCTTTTAATAACAACTTTATTTTTCTATCTTTTTTTTTTTTTTTTGAGACAGAGTCTCACTTTGGTGCCCAGGCTAGAGTGAGTGCTGTGGCGTCAGCCTGGCTCACAGCAACCTCAATCTCCGGGGCTCAGCGATCCTACTGCCTCAGCCTCCCGAGTAGCTGGGACTACAGGCATGCGCCACCATGCCCGGCTAATTTTTTGTATATATATTTTTAGTTGGTCAATTAATTTCTTTCTATTTTTGGTAGAGACGGGGTCTCGCTCAGGCTGGTTTCGAACTCCTGACCTTGAGCAATCCGCCTCGGCCTCCCAAAGTGCTAGGATTACAGGCGTGAGCCACCACGCCCGGCCTTATTTTTCTATCTTTTTATGAATGTATTCCCAGAGGCTATCCAAGTAATCATTAAGGTGATCCCCCTGACAGATGTAGAAATGGAGGCAAAGTTTGAATAAGCAAGTTCCTATACTTTTTACACTGGTCTCTGCTGGATTAAAACATAATTTTTCAAACTAGGGTGTATTGCTCTGATTTTCCAATATTTCATTTTATCTCATTCCCATTAGGTAAGAATTTATCAGTTGGCTATTTATTTACCTACTTATTTATTTATTTAGAGACAGAGGGTCTTGATTTGTTTTGCAGGCTGTATTTGAACTCCTGGGCTCCTGCCTCAGCCTCCAAAGTAGCTTAGATTACAGGTGTGCACCACTATACCTAGCCCACTTTTACTTTTTTGAAAAGTAAAAATACTTTTTTTTTAGTCAAAAAAAAGATAAAGTGTTTTGATACTAAGTACATCTAAATGTAATTTAATCTAGCATTAAATTAATTTCTATTGAATAGAAATTTGGATGAACTTAAGCAACTTTTGATTCCATAGAAGGAAATTAGCTTGATAAATGGAAACATGTTTATCTTCTATCTTAAAGCAAGAAATTGAAGATGATCGCCCTGCACATTGACAAGCACTACTCCATGGGTGTGACTAACAGAACTCTGACACCCCCAGAATGTAAATTTAAAAATTTTTTTTTCTTTTTATAAAAAATTTTAATTTTTACTTTTTCTTTTTGGACTCATCTTTAATTGTAATAGCAAAAAAACAGAATGTAAATTTATGAACTTACATATCTTACACACATTTTTCCTCATTAAATATAATTCAGAGAGTGAGGCGGGCAATGATGGGAGGCTGCTTGTCGGGCACAACGTGCATTGCTCCAGCAAGGTGCACTGAAGGCCCTGACTTCGCCACAGCGCAATTTATCAATGTAGCAAAATCGCATTGTACCCAATGAATATATATACATAAAAAAATCTTTAAAAAACATATAACTAAAATATGTCTTGTGTTGTGTTGGATTTTCCCAGAAATCGACACTGAGAAAGTCTGTATGTATGTATAGAAATGCTACTGATTTTTGCATATTTTTTAAAATTATTTTTTTATTTCATCATATTATGGGGTACAAATATTGTTAAGGTTACATATATTGCCCTTGCCACCCCCCCCCCCCGTGTCAGAGCTTCAAGCATGTCCATCCCCTAGGTGGTGCGCATCACACTCATTATATAAGTATACACCCACCCCCACTTCCCCCTCCCACCTGCCCAACACCTGATAAATGTTTTTGGGGTTTTTGTTTGACATTTTGGTAACATTTTATATCTTTGCCTCTCCCTAGCAAGGGTCTACCCTCCACAATGCTCACCACATCCCTAAGATGTGGGTCTACCCCCCCAATCCCTGGTGAACTCCACCACCATTTGAGCACCATAGTTTTAATCAGTCAGTACCAATTTGATGGCGAGTACATGTGGGGCCCATTTTCCTGATCTTGTGTTGCCTCACTTTGGATAACGGGCTTAAGCTTAATCCAGGATAGTATAAGCAGTGCTAGCTCGCTGTTGTTTCTTAGAATTGAGTTATATTCCATTGTCAACATATACCAAATTTTAATTGTCCACTCAAGAATTGACGGGCACTTGGGTTGTTTCCATGTCCTTGCAATAGTGAATTGTGCTGCCGTAAACATTCAGGTGCAGATGTCTTTATAATAGAATGTCTGATGCTCTTTTTAATGCGGGGCCGGGCATGGTGTCTCACGCCTGTAATCCTAGCACTCTGGGTGGATCGCTCAAGGTCAGGAGTTAGAAATCAGCCTGAGCAAGAGCAAGACTCTGTCTCTACTAACAAAAATAGAAAGAAATTAATTGATCAACTAAAAATATCTAGAAAAAATTAGCTGGGCATAGTGGCACATGCCTGTAGTCTTAGCTACTTGGGAGGCTGAGGCAGGAGGATTGCTTGAGTCCAAGAGTTTGAGGTTGCTGTGAGCTAGGCTGATGCCACGGCACTCTAGCACAGGCAACAGAGTGAGACTCTGACGCAAAAATAAATAAATAAATAAAAATAAAAATAAATAAAAAATAAAATAAAATTCTTTTAATGCAAAACAAGTTTTCTTTGAATGTAATTATAACTCACCAAAAAAAATTCTTCTCCTTTTAAACTTAAATGTATTCTCTCATATATGGTAAGGTAAGAGCACTGGGGAAATACTTTGCCAATATCTTTATATTTGCATAGTTTCTGTCTGGAATTAATTTTCTTATTTCTATAAAGATTCGAGCACTATTTAAAGGCTCTGCCACATTCTTCACATTTGTAAGATTATATGGTATGGTATTATTGTATGGTATTATTATTATTATGGTATGAATTATCTTATGTCTAGAAAGGTTTGAACACATGTTAAATGCTTTGCCACATTCTTCACATTTGTGGGAGTTTTCTCCAGTATGAATTTTCTTATGTTGAGAAAGGTTTGAGCAAGATTTATAGACTTTGCTACATTCATTACATGTGTAGAAGTTCTTTCCAGTATGAATTCTCTTATGTTCGGTAAAGTGTGAGTACTGGTTAAAGGCTTTTCCACATTTTTATATTTGTAAGCTTTCTTCTCTCCAGCTGGTCTTAAATTATGTCTATTTAGATTTGACAATTTTCTAAAGACGTTCATAAATTCATTACATTGAAAGTTTTTCCTATGGGTAGTTGTTGAAAATTCTTTAATTCCATTATAACATTCATTTTGCCCCTTACACTCACCCACATTTTCCCAGTCTTTCCTTAAGTATAAATTCTTTCAAAAGGCACAGCTTATATATCTTCTCAGTATCACTTTCTGAAATGAATATTTTAGAAAGTGGCAAATGGTCCTCTGGCAAATGGTCTTGAGTATAATTAGAAGACAAAGATGCTGGTACCGGGCTGTTCTTGCAGGGCTTTATCTGGGAGAAGAGATGGAACACTCCTCCTACTAATGCTTTCATTTTCTTCAACGCTGGAGATGAAATCTTTTATTTATACCCCAAAGTGTCATCAGAGCAGTCACTACTCTATTTCCTAGGCAGAAGAGGTCCCAAACTGGCCAGTTCCTGGCTTCCGGGGTGTCTTGCCATTCTCCCTGCACGTCTCCTGGTACCCTCCGGTCCCAGTACTGTGGCAGGGCCACCCAGACCTCCCAGGGCAATGGAGAAGGAGCAGAGAACACACTGGAGTTTAGCAGGCTGGCGCAAGAGACCTGCATATTGTTTTTTGATTTGTTTTGTTTTGTTTTGTTTTTGAGACAGAGTCTCGCTTTGTTGCCCAGGCTAGAGTGAGTGCCATGGCGTCAGCCTGGCTCACAGCAACCTCAAACTCCTGGGCTCAAGCGATCCTCCTGCCTCAGCCTCCCGAGTAGCTGGGACTACAGGCATGTGCCACCATGCCCGGCTCATTTTTTCTATATATATTAGTTAGCCAATTAATTTCTTTCTATTTATAGTAGAGACGGGGTCTCGCTCTTGCTTGTTTTGTTTTGTTTTGAGACAGGGTCTTGCTCTGTCACCTGGTATACAGTGCAGTGCATCATCATAGCTCACTGTGACCTCAAATTCTTGGGCCCAAGATATCTCCTGCTTCAGCCTCCCAAGTAGGTGGGACCACAGGTGCATGCCAACATGCCCAGCTAATTTTTCTATTTTTTGAAGAGACAGAGTCTTGCTCTTGCTCAGGCTGGTCTCAAATTCCTGATCTCAAACAATTCTCCCATCTCAGCCTCCCAGAGTGCTAAGATTACAGGTGTAAGCCACCGACGCACCTGGCCTGATTTTTGTATATTGACTTTGTATCCTGCAACTTTACTGACAAGTGCAACTGGTTTATAGGGAGGTGATACCCGAAAACATGGGTGAGCAGAGGGGGAGTCAGACAGGGATGGGAAGGCAGCAATAAAGACTGTGCTTTCCAGCAGGGCACCCACTGGGAACACTGGAGAACTCTGGGAGCTGATGTAGAACTTGTGCCTCAAAGTCATCCCATGCAAGGGGCTAGAGTGTTGAGTATTCATACGCCACTCCTGCCAGTCACTGAATGGAGAGGGATGGGGTGCGTGGGTTCACCCATTCCCTGCACTTCTGACCTGGCTGCCGTGCTGGGGCAAAGGAGGACCTGGGGACCAAAGGAAGTGTTGAGGCAAGGACAGGCAGGGTTGGCACCTGGAAGTCAGGATGAGGGCAGGGGGGCAGGACTCCAACGGTACCTGCTATGTTCTTTTCCTGAAGCTCCTACAAAGGCTTAAGCGCCTGTTTTCTCTTGTGTCTTCCAGAATCTATTTGGCTGCCTGTGTCATCTCACATATCGCAGAGACATCTTAGGCTTCCATTCTCATCTGGAAGCCCCTGAAAGGCAGGAAGGAGCAATGATTTTCTCACCTCCTGGCACCGACAGGGACAGAGTGAAGTGAGCACTAAATCATATGAGGCTTCCAAAATCCAATTCTGTCTAAAGTCCCTCTTTAAAGCAATGGGAAAAATCTAGAACACGGGTGTTCTCAGATTTCTGGTTCTTATTTTTCTTTCCAATGTAAAGAGAAGAAATCTGGGCTAATTTATGGAATTAAAAATGTAATGTTCTAAATGAATACATGTGTCCAGTGGTGGTAATTACTGAAGACAATATAGCAGAGTAAGAGGGTACAGAGAGTGCACACAGCTATTTTAAATGACAGTGTGGGAAATCACTCTGGCAAAGGGACATTGTAATATATATATTTATATTTATATATAATATGTATAAGTATTTTTTCTTACCCTATAGTAATTCAAGTTCTAGGATCTTGTTCATAGATATTCACACAAGTTCTAGAATATTCATTCATTCAAATGAAGCATTGTCTGTAGCAGCAAAATACCAGAACTAATCTAGACAGCTATTTATGCAAGAAACATTACATTTGTAACATTATATTTGTCATGGCATTTAATGTGTTAGGCACTCTTCTGTATTTTACAAATACTGACTCAACCTAACAGACCTACTTATTATCATTATCCCCTTTTTCAGATGAGCAAACTGAAGCAGAGAAATTAAGTCATTTGTCTGAGCTGACACATTGAGGAAGTGGCAGATTCCGAATCTGAACCCAGGCTGTCTTGCTCCAAGGTCTGAGTTCGGGCTGCACTGTGCTGTGATCACACCACTGCACTCCAGCCTGGGCAGCACAGCAAGGCTCTGTGTCCGGAACAAAGCCCATATATAAATATAAAATATAAAGTATGCATTCTTATCACATACTATATGGTTTGTAGAGTTATTTACCCCCCAGTTTCTTGAACATGGTATCCTTACATCTTGGACCTTGGTCAGTTGTGCTATTAATTATTAAACATTAAAACTTTGGAGTTTCCCACAAACAAACACAGGAAGAACAAATGCATGTGCTTTATTATGCAAAGAGCATCTCTGGAAGGATACACAGAAGACTAGTAGGAGTACTTATTTTTTGGGAGCGGAACTGGGAAATAGAAAAAATTTTCAAGAATTATCTCTTAGTATTGTTTTGTTTATCATGCACAGGTTTTATTTGTTTTATTAACACAACTTAAAAAGCAAATAGAAAGGAAATATATAACTTCTTTTAATAGAGCAATGGAAAATGTCACCTTCCAAATTTTCATAACTTTTAAAAAAATTTTTACTTTTTATTCAGACTTGAGCCAGTTCATAATTCATAACTTATTTTACCCTATTATTTAAGGTGAAAGTGAAAGATCAAAGGTGAAAAATTCCATATCTTTCATATGGCTTTAAATTTTGGGGGGAAGTAGTTTATCATGATACTTTGTCAAATAGTGAAATGCATTAAATTCATGTGCAAATTTTCATGAAATTGTGTAATATGGAGTTGTCCATTTCACTAGAGGGTGTAATTTCTTAATACTGTAATTATTTTAAACTTAATTTCTATTTTTGTACATTCATTTTTGAAAGAAAGAAGAAAAAAATGAAGGCAACTATTTGAAACACCTTTGTGAAAATCATTTCAGCTCCATGTTCCTATTCTACTATATGTAATTTAAAAATCTAATGACCCTAAAAGTAGATACATGATTCCTTTAATGCAACAACATTCATTCAAAAGAACTTCATTTCTTCCTAACTTACTTGAATAACTATGTTAAATTCAGAAATCAATTCCTACAAATGAGAGTAGGAAAGTGGTTTTCCTGGTTTCACTCTTACTAAATGGAAGTAATTGAAGATAGTAACTCCTTTATTCAAAAAGAATTTGTTCTTTTCATGAACAAGCCTACATTTCTGAAAATGTTAAAATTTTAGGGCAACTGTGTTCTCATAATTAGGATTCCTATATAAGAGTAGGAAGGATAAAAATACATTTAAGCAAACTCTAGAAACTACTTGCTTATAATTTCTCACTCTGCCTAGAAAAAAATGACTCAAGTTAATTCTGTCCACTAAAAGAAGAAAATGCTCAGTTAAGTGGACGAAAATAGTCCCAATTAAAGATATAAATTTCTCTGATTGGGCAAAATGTAACAATTTTCCACTATAGGAAGACAGAACTTTTTTGTTGTTGTTGTTAAACTAATGTGTTCCTTTTTTTTTTTTTTTTTTAGTCTCACTCTGTTGCCTGGGCTAGAGTGCCGAGGAGTCAGCCCAGCTCACAGCAACCTCAAACTCCTGGGCTCAAGTGATCCTCCTGTCTCAGCCTCCTGAGAAGTTGAGACTACAGGCATGCGCCACCATGCCTGGCTAATCTTTTGTATATATGTGTGTGTGTGTGTGTATATATATATATATTTTTTTTTTTTAGTTGGCCAATTAATTTCTTTCTATTTTTAGTAGAGATGGGGGTCTTGCTCAGGCTGGTTTCGAACTCCTGACCTCGAGCGATCAGCCCGCCTCGGCCTTCCAGAGTGCTAGGATGACCTAGAAACTCTTGATACTGTTTTATCAACAGAAGCAATAGGCAGGCTTTGAGGTCTTTTTTGGGGAAAAAAAACAACCCAAAAATTTCCTTAAAAAGGAAATTAAAATGTCATAGGTAAATGCTTCCTCCAGGCAGACGACAGCGGCGCTAGCCAGCCTCGCCCCGCCGGCCTCTCCCCAGTGTCCGCGCCCGCCGGGTCGGTCCTGTCCTCTGGCCCGCCACCCTCCCACGCCCGACTTCGCTTCCGGCGGGCTCCCCTTCCCCACGGGCGCTTCCGGTCTTCCCCTGAGGCTCAGGTCACCTCCGCTGCTTTTCGGTCCGTGCTCCGCCGGCCGCTCTCACATCTAGGCGTCTTGGCGGCTCCCTCCGCGCCGTCCCCTGCTCCCCTCCTTCCTGACGAGCGCTTCCCGGGTGCCCACACCCTTTCTCGGCGGGCGGGCGGGCCGCGTGAGGTGAGAGCCGCTCTCGCGGCGGCTCGGACGCGCCAGTCTGCCCGCTGTGCTGCACGACGGGGCCGGTCGGGGCCTTGGCACCCAGCCGCCCTGGTCATCGCGGGGACGGCCGGTCGGGGCCTTGGCACTCAGCCGCCCTGGTCATCGCGGGGACGGCCGGTCGGGGCCTTGGCACCCAGCCGCCCTGGTCATCGCCGCGACGGCCGGTCGGGGCCTTGGCACCCAGCCGCCCTGGTCATCGCCGCGAGGGCCGGTCAGGACCTTGGCACCCAGCCGCCCTGGTCATCGCGGCGACGGCCGGTCGGGGCCTTGGCACCCAGCCACCCTGGTCATCGCGGCGACGGCCGGTCAGGGCTGGCACCCAGCCACCCTGGTCATCGCCGCGAGGGCCGGTCGGGGCCTTGGCACCCAGCCGCCCTGGTCATCGCGGCGAGGGCCAGTCAAGGCTGGCACCCAGCCGCCCTGGTCATCGCCAAGACGGCCGGTCAGGGCCTTGGCACCCAGCCGCCCTGGTCATCACCGCGACGGCCGGTCAAGGCCTTGGCACCCAGCCGCCCTGGTCATCGCAGCGACGGCCGGTCGGGGCCTTGGCACCCAGCCGCCCTGGTCATCGCAGCGACGGCCGGTCGGGGCCTTGGCACCCAGCCGCCCTGGTCATCGCCGCGACGGCCGGTCAGGGCCTTGGCACCGACCTGCCTTGCACATCGCCATGTTCCTCCCATCGTGCACTTCCAGCTGCGCTCGGTCACGTCTTGACAAATTTGTAAAAAACACTAATTTCATTAGACTTTGACTCTTCAGTACATGTCTTTTCCCATATAGCTATCAGTTATTCTAGCACCATTTATGAAAAAAACTATTATTTTCCATGAAATTAACTTGGCACCTTAGTGGAAAATCAATTGACCATATAATTATGGGTCTATTTCTGGACTCAATTTTGTTCCATTGATCTATGTCTTTACTTACGCAGAACCCATGCTGACTCCATTACTGTAGCTTTCTGTGTAGTAAGTTTTAAAATCAGGTAACATGACACAGCCAACTGCACCCAGCTCAGCTCCCCTCTCTTAGCCAGAGGTGCTGATTGGACCCACAGTCGCGGCAAGAGGGTGATGGGGACGGGCACCTGCTCTGTGCTGGGACGCAGATGTACAGGGCCAGCTGGCCTTCAGGGAGGGCTCACCACCCAGGGGGCCTACTTCTCTGCAGTTCCTTTCTCTCTCGCTGCCCTTGATAACCTGGGGTCTTGCCTTTGGCAAAGGATGCCAAGCAAAGGTCTGCCCTGAGCCTGAGGTTCTCAGCCTCCTACTGGCTCTCTTTGCATCAGCCTCATCTACCTCATGTCACCACCTGCTCCATCTTCTCCATGGTTGGTCTGTGTGGCATCTACAAGATCTGATTCACTCTGGACCAGGTGACAGCTCCAGTCCTCACACCAGCCAAGGGTACAGGCAAGAGTGAGAAGAAAAAAAAGAGGAACTATCTTCTCAATGTCCAAGAAAATAGATTCTTTATAAAATCAGGTAGTATAAGTCCCCAACTTTGTTCTTTTTAAAAGTTGTTTTGCATAATCTATGCCCCTTGCTTTTCCATATGAATTTTAGAATCATCCTAACTTTGGTTATTTTATTCTTTTGCGTGGCTTATACTTTCATTAAATAAGTTTGTATCCCTAAGTGGTTCTTATGATTGTTTTGCATGTTTTTATACTTTACATGCTGTTTCTGCATCTTGCTTTTTTCATTCAAAAAAAGTTATCAATTCTCAATCTGATGTCCATGCATGAATTGAAAAATCCATAAACACTCTGAGCTCTGATGTAAAACAGACAGGTAGGTATGTGCACATGGTGGTTTTATATATTCCTTGACATTCAGAAATTCTTTGACATTCCTCCCTTCAACAGGTAGAGCCACTCGAGGGTGGGCTGAACTTGACTCACAACAAGTAGAACATGGCAGAAGTGAAGTGTCATTTCTGAGACTGCATCATAAAAGTCACCACTTTGTCCTTGTGCTCTTGGATCACTGACTGGGGAAAATCAGTTGCTGTGTCATGAAGACACTCACAGCAGGAAAATAAGACCTCCTGCCAACAGCCATGTGAATGAGCCGCCTTGGAAGCAGATCCTCTAGTCCCTGTCAAGCCTTTATTCAATCGACTGTAGCCCAGGCTGACATCTTGACTGAAACCTGGAGAGACCCTGAGGTAGGACCACTTAGCGAAGCTACTCTTGAATTCCTGACTCACAGAAACTGTGAAATAATAAATTTCACTGCTTTAAGTTTCTAAATTTTGGGGCAATTTGTTACACAATAGGTAAGTAACACAGTGCACTTATTTGAGGAGACAGTCTATGATTTTCATTAGATTCTCAGAATAGTGAGCCCCAAAATGAGTAAGAATTACTACTGTAAAATAAATATTAATACTAGATTTCTTTCTTTCTTTTTTTTTGAGACAGTCTTGCTCTGTCACCCTGGCTAGAGTGCAGTGGCATCATCATGGTTCACAACAAACTCCTGGGCTCAAGTGATCCTCCTGCCTCAGTCTCCCCAGTAGCTGGGACTACAGGTGCACGCCACAATGCCCTGCTAATTTTTCTATGTTTAGTAGAGACGGAGTCTCACTCTTGCTTAGGCTGGTCCTCAATCTCCTGACCTCAAGCAATCCTCCTGCCCTGGCCTCCCAGAGTGCTAGGATTACAGGCGTGAGCCACTACACCTGGCCAAAAGAGAACGTTTCTAAATACTATAGTATAACTTTACTATAGAATTTCAGGATACAGTGAATAGAGTTTTTAAATTGCTCATGTTCTATACATAGGTTAAGTACAATCAAGTCTTGGTCTATGTAATTTCAAAAAGGTAGGAAGCAAGCCTACAACATATCTGGGTAAACACAGGCCCTGAAGAGACCTTTCCCTATCTTGGTAACTCAAAGGTATTTCTTTGAAAGACTAAATAAAAGCAAAAGATAAACCTGCAAAAAATAAGTGTAATTAAATGGCCAATATTTCAAAATCGATTCTTCGAAAATGTTTCCTCAGAGTGGGTATGAAGCAAAAAAAAAAAAAAAAAAAAAAAATCAAATAAATGTTTCCATTTTAAAGGCAAAAAAGAAAGAAAGAAAAGTAGTGATTTTTATTTCCCTGGGCAAACATGCTATGGCTAGTTGAACACTTAAAAATATCTTCTAAAACAAAGGATCTCATATTGAGTTCATACTCCAACACTTCAAATAGTGTGTATTTTTTTTTTTTTTTTTGAGGTTTTATTTTTTTTTTTTTTGAGACAGATTCTCAGCTTGTTGCACCAGCCTAGAGTGAGTGCCGTCGGCTCAGCCTAGCTCACAGCAACCTCAAAGCTCCTGGGTCGATTATCCTTTGCCTCAGCCTCCTGGGTAGCTGGACTACAGCATGCGCACCATGCCCGGCTAATTTTCGATACTCTATATCAGTTGGCCAATTAACGTCGTTTCTATTTGATAGTGAGAGACGGGGGTCTCACTTCTTGCTCAGGCTGGTCTCGACTCCTGACGTTGGAGCAATACCGGCCCCGCCTCGGGCCTCCCAACGGCTAGATTACAGGCTAGCCACAGCGCCCGGCCTCGAAATAGTATGTAGTTTTTAATGGATGAAAGTACATATTGGTCATCATTATTTAAAGCTGACTGCTTATGTTCCTGTGGTCATGAAGGAAAGAACTACCGTCTCTTATATATACAGTGCCATGAATACTGCTCACATGGTATTAATAGGTAAACTATAGATATTTAACATCTTTTTCCATTTTTCCCTCTTGTTAGAACAAAACTGAAGGTGAACAATATACATCAACGTATGTCATGCCTCAGAATTATTATCAAGAGCCTGATTGATAGTACTAGGTTCCTATATCGACTGTCTGGCATATTGTTTATAGGTGGACAGTATGGGAACAAACACAGATGGAAATTTCTTCTCCTGAAAATAATACATCATAATTGAAGGTGAGAAACTCTGAAATTTCTCTTATTGGAAGAATCTCTGCCTCAAAAACAACAGCTTTGTGTATCTTAGCTGAAAATGATCACCTAAAATTCACGCACGTACACCATACAAATGTGATCAAGGAGAACAAAGCAAAAATTTAGTCTCATGGTATATCATTTCCATGTTTCACCACCAAGTACAGAATCTGGTCATTCTTACTCGGGTTCATGCTGTTCAGGACCTCTTAGGGCTAGGAAACACTTTTGGTTCCCAACACTATAACAGTAGAGGTACAAAGAGGTAAAACACTATAGTGCAGAAATGAGGAATAAAACAATCTGCGCATACTAGTATTGGTCTTGTATCAGGGCGCGCTGAGATCAACTGCGCAGAATGGAAATCTCACTGAAACTCTCTGGTTCGTAAATGATGATAATGGACCGCCCAGGGGCCCCTGTGGATATGATGTGCTTTCATCCTGTTACCTTCCGACGTACACTTGAAGGTAAGCTGGAATAGCTGCTTTAAAAAACTCACACATTCAAATCATGTTCATTAGGCAAGGAAACCATTAGAATAGGTATTTAACTCATCTTGAAAAGACTGGAAGGACACAGAGGCTAAATTAGAAAGTTTTTTTCAAAAACTATTTTCTCCAATCTGAGTCCGTACAATGTAAATCAAAAATCAAGTAGTGATTGTCTGCTACCTGTATAAAGGATGGCATTTACCGTCATTAGTAATTACTAGTAGGTAGTGAAATCCAAGATTTCTCATTCAGCAAAGAAGTAAACCATATTGGTATACTGCCTACCAAAATTAGTATCAAAGCTGCTATCCTCATGACATTTGTTTACACATTCGCTGATGTAGTAAAGATATTACCTTGTAAAACAATATCTTGCCATACATAATGCTTTGGATTCTTTTTTATTTTATTGGCAAAATTCAAGAAAATAATGATTGGTTTGAGTGCTTTGACTGCTCTAATTAGTAAGAACCACTGAGATTCCCAATTGCAGCTTATGTCCACCTTTGTGAACTCAGAGCTTAAATCGTGCTGGTACACGCGGATTAAGAGCACTAAAGAGCACAATAAGTTATTTTTATGACCTTTCGAATACTATGTATCCGCAATATTAAGCATATTTAAAAGCTAACTATTCAGTATTAGGCATATGCATCACGCAAATCTCTCTTCGTCATTGTTAGATCATTAATACTATGTTGAGAAAAAATCGTCCAAAACTAATTTCCTTGATACCTTGATGGTTCAAAGGGCAAGTCTGTTCTCCTCTACCGTTTCTTTGGCATAGCACTTTATAGTCAAGCAGTACAATCATTCTCTCCTACT